GGTCAGCAGCAGGGAGCTGAGAGGGTGTGCTGGCATTTTTAAAAGGGAGGAGACATTAAATCATTTCTGGAGATTTGAAGAACATGACGATATTAGGGAAGGGCAGGAGGATGGCGCGGTGAAGCTGGGTGCCCATTTAAAATGATTTTAAGTGAGAAAGGAAAGTTGGGTATATTCCCATGGCCTGTTCAGTGTGCTCCATCACAGATGCAGGGCAGACACACAGTTAAACCGTCCTAGATAGGCACGTGTTCCGAACCACACAGACTTTGCACCCATCTCACAAAGACTTTGCATCGAAGTCATCCATGGATGTGCTCTGCACTTTCCTCCCTTTCTAAATTATCACCATCGCCTGCAGGCAGCCTTGGAAATGCCAGGTTGAATCGTGCAGAACGATGCACTGCGGAAGGTGAGGAAGCCTGCTCCACAGCGACTGTCCCCTCTGCAGGCCCCGGCACCTTCCTCCTGCTCGTGGCCCCAGGTGGAAAGGAGAAGTCACTGAGAGATACCGTTGTGCCCTCGTGGGCGTCCTGGTCCCAGAGGCAGAGCCATTCTCCCAGCTGCCTTCATCTGGCAGAGATGCTGTGCTGCCCAGTGTGGGCTGGCAGCTCACTGCACTGTCATCTGTTCTAACCTCTGCCCGCCGCTGCTGTTGCCATGGTCCCCTTCACCAAGCCTCCTGTTACCTACAGGCCATGTCTCTGCTTCTCCACTTAGCATCTTTGTTTTTGTTAATTTCTCATGCACTTCTTCACCTTGCAGGGGAAAACAAAAACAAAAACCTCACACACACATACACGAAACCTGGCCTCCTACAGACATGGCTCTCCAATGAGGATTTTTTTTTTTTTTTGTCTTGCTCTTGGAAAACCAAAAAGTAACAACATGCCAGGTATAACCCTGAGGTCTTGGTGCTTCCTGCATGCTGAATAATTAGGGCTCATTTCTTTGCTTCTCACAACCTGTGGGGAGTCACTCTATAATAGAGAAGCATGAGGGACCCAAAAGCCTGGAGTAGGAAATATTGGTGCGTTCGGCACCTGCGCTTATCAGGCTGTGTGCAGGCACTGGGCACCTGGAAGTGAGTAAAAGGCAGTCCTGATTCTCAAAAGGTGTGCAGGTGAGTGGGCGGGTAATAGAAGCAAATAATAAATACAGGAAGCACACTGATAGAGCATGGGGCATGATTAAGTAAGTGTGCCCAAGGTGCTCTTTGGTCAATTGACAGGAACCTGTCAGGTTCAGAGAAATTTTTCCAGATACTGAGATACCTAAGCTGAGTCTTAGATCAGGGTATGAAGTCAGCCACACAGGAAAAACTCATGGGGTTAACGCACGGCTTGGCCAGAAACAGGCTCACACAACGAGGGACCAGGAGTGACAAGGGACAAGGCTGGAGAGCCCTGTACCCTAGAGGCACAGCAGCCACTCGCCAAGAGGCCTGGCTTCCCCATGAGGGCAATGAGAAAAGGTTCAAAGGTCATAAATAAAGGGTCATGGCCAGATGTTTGTTTTAGGGATTTCTCTCTAATAAAAGTGCAGAAAAGACTGAAAGCAGGGTCAGCTAGACGAACTGAGTTGGTTTTCTGTTTTGTTTTGTTTTTCAGATTAGATAATTTACAAATATTCCCCCAAAACCATAAAAAATAGAACACAAGATAATGCAATAAATATAACAGATGGTGTCTTTTACATATATAAAGAGATCAGAAAATTTAGCAAAACATTAACAGTACAAAGGCAAAATGGACAAAAACTTGAAATTCACAGAAAGAAAACAAATGATCAGTGAGAAGGAAGAATGTTTAAGCATTAATATTTTTAAAATGCAAATTTCAACAATTACAAGTCACGGAAGTCACCCCATAAGATTGGAAAGGATGGAGCAAGTAACACTATTGTTATTATAGTAATGAAAACTAATGAAATTATTCTGGAAGCAATTTTCCAATAGGTATCAAGAGCCTCCAAAAATATTACATCAACAATCTAGCAATCCACTCCTTTAAATTCATTCTAAGAAAATAACTAGAGATGCAAAATTTATAAACCAAAATGTCCAATGTGGGATAATCTGTAACATAAAAAGGGAAAACAATCTAAATATTTAATAATAGGAGGGTGGCTAAGTGTTAATATATTAGAGTTTGGTCCTGCAATGGACTATTAAAAGTAAAAAGGAGAAAGTGTTCGCTACATGATATTAAGTATGAAAGAGTGATACAAAATTGCTTTCCCAGTATAATGCCAAAAAGGTCATCCGTGTGTGTGTGTGTGTGTGTGTGTGTGTGTGTGTGTGTGTGTGTGTAGATGAATTAATACTAGTTAGGGAGTTAAACATGAGTAAAGAATTAACAGAATAAAAGGAAATACACAAATTGTTAACAATAGTTATTATCTTTATTAGAAGTTTTCTGTATGTAAAAACAACGCATAGTACTTTAAACTACTTATATAACAATAGAGAACAAAGAGAAGTTAGGAGAAAAACCCGAAATGATTACTATGATAAAAGCCAAACCAGAGAATTTCAATAAAACGGAAGATTTAAAATTTCACACAGGCTGATAGAATTGTGGAAGCCATTATCTCCAGTGGTGCAGATGGAAAATTAAATGGGTTTTTAATTGTTTTAGACATATTTCTGATGGAAGACTGTGGCACAGCTCAACTTTAGGATGTGAGCCTTGACGCCTGGCAGAAAATAATCCTAGAATAGATGGGCCACTGTTCTGACTCAGCAGAGAGGAATGTACCTTTTCCCTTCTGCATCAAGATACCAGCATGTGTCACCTTGTGTGTCACAGAAACACTAATTTCAGTAACTAGTTTAAAAAGTGCGTGCTAGGGAGTCCCAAAGGCAGCACTCTCACTCTTCAAGGAAAAGGCATGCCTTGTGTATGACATACACACATGTCTTCCGTCTCCCCCATGTAATGATCAATTCTGCCGTGTATCCCTAGTCACTCAGCTTGAGCAGAAGCACGATCTCTGGAGTGCAGTGCTCAGGAGGGCACCATTTAAAAGTTCAGAATGGGCTCGATTGCCTGATTTGGGAAAGAGTTTTTTCCAACCTCCTAAGTCACTTGAATGAGTCAATAGCAATTCTAGACTGAGCAATTCAGTTCCGACTTGAACAATTACTCAGCTTCCTGGAACACTTTTATCTACGTGCGTTTTCGGCTGCTAACTTTGTAAGCTAACTTACAAACACAAGCCCAATGAAGACAGATGTCTGTACGGCATACCAACTGTGTGAGTGCTTACCTACACACCAGAGGCAAACCTGAGCTATCACGTAAGTTCGAGGGGCACAGGGCACTTTCCCTGGGTTACAAACCCTAACTCAGGACATTAATATCCCAGGAGTTTGCAACAAGGAGTTCATTTCACATCCTTCCTACACAGTGATGGGAGTCAGCTCCAGCTCGGTTCCATGACTTCATCCTGACTTCAGGCTAAAGCAGCAGCTCTTTCCCTGAATATGTCCTTCACATGGCAGGGAAGGGGCCATGGCAGAGCCTGATGGCCCCTGAACCTCCTTGAACTTGTACATGGCACTTGGCATGCATTCCATTGCCAAGCACAAGTCCAGTGGGCAAAGTGGGTATAAACGGGACCTGAAAGCACAATCCTCCTACATAAGGGCAGGGACACACTGAGAACAATATCCAGCCTACCACGCCGCATAGCTCCATAAACACATAGGTTGCGTGGCGTGGATGGCGCCACTAGCAAAGGATTTGGGTGTGTTGAAAATTGTTGAGCCCTTCGGCCAATCCAAAAAGCTCCTTCCTGCCCTCAGTCAGGGGGCAAGTTAGAGAAGGCAGATACAGACGCAGGCAGGTTCTGGAATGAGACTCTCTAAACAGTTCACTAAACAATTAAGCTCAACTTAAATTCGTATAAACACAAATTCAGAGAGCTGTATCACTAGCCTCACCCACCCACCCCAGCAGCCCGACGGCTCACTCTCGCTCCACAATCTGTAGCTTTGATCTGGATTCTCGTTTTTTTTCCCCTGATTCATGGCTCATTGCTTTACTTAAGGGTCCTTATTTTCTGGTCCTGATGAATCACTCGGTCAACATTCCTCTGAGTACAAAGTATATTATCAACTTGCTTTTTATTTTCTTAACTAGAACCATGTTTCTTTCAATACACACTGAAAATTCCTGGCTTCCAGCTTCATTTAAGCCATAAATGGTTTGCCTCGCCGTTCAACTGTTTCTCTAATAGAAGCACCAACAGCTACACCTGCATTTTCTGACCACAGCTTTCTGTGCCTGTGACAAGGCAAGGGACAGCTCACGGTGACTTTGGTATGAAAGTAAACTTCTTGATTGTGATCTAAATTAAAATGTATCCCCCGTGGGGTAGGACTATCTAATCTGTGTCATTCCCTACGTTACATTTTTATATGTGATCTATCCCCACCTTGTCCACCCTCTCAACTCAAGTGACATTCCTTTTGAACCGTCTCCCACCCAATGTCATGAAGGCTACACTTGCTCGTGTGACAATAATGGCCATGCTCTAATTTTCTGTAGTCCTAGGATGGCACATTTCCTGCAGATTGCCAGGTTTCCCCAATCCTAATCCCTAGTAGGGATCTGCCTCTATTTGAATTTCTCCCTTGGATACACAATACCTTAAGAGGGTAAAGAGGGTCAAATACATGGTGACAGAAGGAGACTAGACTCTGGGTGGTGAGCACACAATGCAATATACAGATGATGTATTACAGAATTGTATAGTTGAAATTAACCTACTGTTATTAACCAATGTCACCCCAATACATTTAATTTTTAAAAAACATGGTTCAGATGTACAGATCTAAGTGTGATGTGGTGTCCAGTTCACTGTGTCATATTCACTTGTTAAATAATTTGGGAACTTTTGATTCAGACTTTCTTTCTAAACCGCATGAAATATTTTTCAGATTTTTTAAATGATTTTGACCAATGAAAATAAACTGATTTCCTTCTTACTTTCAGATGGCCCAGCAGTCTATACAGCATACTTAAAAATGGAGCACAGTGATGAGAATATTAAATTCTGGACGGCATGTGAAACCTATAAGAAAATTGCCTCACGGCGGAGCCGAGTTTCTAGGGCAAAGAAGCTATATGAGATTTACATCCAGCCAGAGTCCCCTAGAGAGGTAACTACCTGTCAATGACAGCAAATGGAAATCAGGGCATTACTATCTGTCAAGCCCACACATGAGCCAGGCACTGTACATCCAGCATCTCCTATAATGTCATAAAGTCAGTGTTGTTAATCTTATGTGACAGATAAGAAACCTGAGACTCTGAGAAGCTTGGTAACCAGTTCAGTTTCACACAGCAGTTAATTGGGAAAGTGAGGGTTCAGAGTTAGATCTGCCTGGCTGCAAAGCCTATCCTTATTAGGGTAGTTTCAGTCCCGGGAAAGTTATTTAAAAAGGAGGAGTCCTTGCAAGGAGAACTGGCATTGCTAGAAGGAATTACAGACACCAACAATGGGCATGGTGACATCCCCAGTGCTGTGGGGCAGGCACTGTCACCACACCAGAGCTCACTGCTCACCTGGGTTTAAAACCCACTGGCTAATTCTAAGTATAAAATATTTTCACTGTAAAAAATACAAAAAAAAACAGCAAACATTCACATTGATATTGCTGCCTATCATTGACAACTGTCTAAAGAATATAGAGTCGTGAGTGACGCCGATACAATGGGACGCCTGGTGGAAAGAGAATGAATGAGGCAGAGGGTGGCATATACGATTCCTATCACTCAGGACAGCCCGCCTTAGGGGTTGCTTCCTCCAAATTCTTGTTTGCCAAATACTTTGTTTATGGAAATGACCACTTCTCTCCTTCATTTCTCCTCTTCTCTTCATCTCCTTCCCATTTCAGGGCATGTTCAATGAAATCAACATGCATGGCTATTAAGGAAGATGAAGTTTAAAATAGCACCAATTTCTTTTTTTCTTCCTTAGAAAAGGCCTCCATCTCATCCATAAACTTCCTCGAATGTAGACTCCACTAACAAACCACTTGCAACCTCCTAAATAAGCAGTGGTTTCAGAGATTTCCTTTGGTCTGGGGCCTGGTATTATTTTTATCTGGGATGTGGAGGTGGATGTTTACATTTTTTAAAAGCAAAGAGTTTATCTCTGATGCCTTTTCACATACCTATGAAACGGCAAAGTCACCCTATTCCACTGCAAAAGAGAAGGAGGAATAAATTAAATGTTTCCATTATATTCCCATCTTTCATTATGCCTACATGTAACTTCACTTTTCAGATTAACATTGACAGCTCAACAAGAGAAACTATCACCAGAAATATTCAAGCACCCACGCAGTCGTGTTTTGAAGAGGCTCAAAAAATCGTGTATATGCACATGGAAAGGGACTCTTACCCCCGGTTTTTAAAGTCAGAAATGTATCAGAAACTTCTGAAGGCTGTTCAGTCCACCAACAATTCCTGACACGACCACTCAAACGTTGAAACTGAAGGTGGCATATTGAAAGACTGGCTTTGTTCTTTTAATTAAAAAAAAATCAGAGATAAAGAATGAAAGAGAAGAACATAACTACAAATTGATTTCTAGTTACCAAAGAGAAACAGATCCCAAAAGGGATGGACTCTAGACTCTTATCACATGAATAACCCAACTTACAGCATGCCTGTGTAGCTTAGTTAATACATAAGAAAAAAAGGTCTCTTCATGACACCAATATTGTAACATTTTACTGTAGTCATCCTGTAATGCATGTTTTCTTATTAATGAAAGCTTGCTGTCATAATGCACAGATTAGTCCTTTAAAAATGGTAGCTATATGAGTTGTGTCTCTAGCATGAATGTATTCTAAAGCACTCTTAATAATGCTAATTAGTAAACAAACTTGGTACCCACAGTACAATCAACTGTGTTATATCGTGAGCAATATTAAAATGATGTGTTCTTGAGAGATATTTTATCTGTAAAATTTTCCTACTATGTTCATAACCAAAATTTTATATTGCTTATATCTTCTACAGATGAAAAATGATTCTCAGCTATGAAAAAATACATGAATTTCTTCATTTATTTCTATACTTTCATTGCTATAAAGGTAGAAAATTTGGTTCCTATACTTTGAGTTGTTGTTTTTTTCCCCTCCTCACAATGTGAATTCATCATGGTCCTGCTAATCAATAAATCCAAATATAAAATTAAAAACTTATAATTATGTGGTTTTTCAAGGACACAATAAAGGTATATTTCCAGTAAAATACTGTTTTTATCTGTCCTGTCATAGCTGCTTCTTAGAATTTGTCAGAAGAGTCCAGAGGAAATTATTTATGTCTGTTTCATTTTGTTTAGCACAAAGTATAGGATAAATGTTCTATACAAATGGATAAATATATATATGCTTTTGATGAAGAATAAAATACCTAAAATATTCAATATCATTTTTCCAAAGAATTACTAGAGGAAAATTTTGTTCAATATCTTTAGTTTTCTGTGAAAAATGTTTAGGTCTCAAGTTTGACCAAAATATTGTTACTATTTTAAAATGCTTAGAAACCTATGCTGTATCACATGAAAATAAATCTTAATTGGAATTCTTCTCATTAAGCATATTACAACAGAATATTTGGGGGTTCATTTCTGAAAAAGAGAATTAGCTGTGCAAGAGAATGTGTTTGTTAAAAAGTATATGGTTGATTAATGCTAACTCTAGTAAATTGTAGACGGTGTGACCACAGTAGACCAATTTTATCTAATTCGCTGAATTGTATTTATTTTCTCTTAAAAATACCAATATAAGAACACAGGTTGAGGTTTTAGGTATCTGAACTTGATAATGACCCTAGCCACAATAAGACACACACACAAAAAAATGTTTCCACATGTTTCAAATAGTCTCCTCATCTCACTCCATCGGCCAATGAGTCTATTTCTGGGCAAGGAGGAAAAGTTATACATACATGGACATAATATAACCATGGTTTCAGCAGTTTCATTAACACCTTGACCCTTCTCATTTAAACTGTACTAAATGGCCAGACATTGATATAGCTAATAAATGAAATTAAAATTATCAGCCTTCTTTACCACCTATTTCTCCCCTCATACTCCAAAAAAGGAGAAGTCTAGAACATTCAGTTTTGCTTCCATGCTGACTTTGCCTCCCAAATACAGCCCCTCTGCTCAGCTCTCAACACCTTCACTTCATGTTGGGTAAACAAGGTGCCACCTGGTAATGTAAAACGAAAGCTTTGGACGGAGATACGGAGGTATGAAGCCACTGGATTAGGGCACCGTCACTCAGCTGATGGCCATCCCCATACCTTCAGGACCTGTAAGTAAGCCTCAGTTTCCTCACCCATAAAATGAAGAGCTGAGTAAGCCACACACAGGTGTTTGATTACCTCCCATGCTTAACGTATTCATCATTTGCCTCACGCTGGGACTCATTCTGAAGAGTGAGTACTCCAAAAACTGACGTTATCATGAAATGGATAACAACCTATGCATTTTTGTGTTGAACACTGGTTAAGGGAGTTCTGAAATTTTTTACTGAGGAACAGAGAATTTACCAAGTGCTATTTTAACCAGTTTAACCAAGAATTCTACATGGAAATGTATGTTTCGTGTTACTGACAGTTAAATTGGTTCTCAGATCATTTTAACTCAGTAATATCCTGAATGTTATTTAGCTTTCTTAGGGTATTATTTTTAATTCATAAATATTTTATTTTATTATAACAACTAAAATTGATCATATTTATCAAGTGGCTACAAGGATATATCCACAATAACACATTTTTGCATGATCCTTGTTTCATGCTTTGTACTTTGAGACTAAGTCAGGAAAAACATATTTAAGATTCCTGATATCAGAACCTGGATGTATTTTCCTCTATTTTTACATACATGTTTTCAAACACTGGAGATGTACAAGAGAGGCCTTTGTCATCTCTGCATAAAAATAAAGTCTTATCTTCAAAAGGAGACAGTGACAAAGATTTGCACAATTCAGATTCAAGCACCCTGGCAGAGACAAACACTTTCCTATTTATAATTCATCAGTCACACCACTGTTTCATCAACTGCAAAGGGATTTTTACCAATTTTGGAAGAAAAGAGATACATGAAGTTTCTTCAAAGACATAAGAGGGTGCGATTGGAAGAAAATCCTAAGATCCCACTGTTCAAAAATATCTTCCCCATCTCTAGGACCTGAAGGTCCCATCACGGGTCACACGGAAGATTGAAAATGGCCTCGGAATTCGAGTTTTAAGTGAGGAGTGAAACGCTAGTGCTGACAATTTACCTGCTGAAGAGCAGAAAGCAAGACCTGGGAGAACAGAACGCAGACATATAGGATGACATAGGAAACAGGATGAGGGAACAAAGATATTAGGGTCACTAGAGGTCACCAGATGCCACATAGGATGTAGGAACTTGGGGGACAAATAGAAACCAATTGCTTACTAAACTCTTCCCATCCTGTTAATAGAAAACCCAAGGGCAGAGGTTGGGGGGAGGCTTTGTTTAAAAGCAGATATTCTAAATTACTGATTATACAGTTCAGTACAAAAAAAATGAATAGCATTCCTATAAAAATAAAAGAGCAAGTTCTAAATCCTTCAACAAACAGTATTTATAGAAGCATTCCTTCAATGAAAGTCTGCCCAGATCTCCTTAAGTGCAGATATTGTACATACACACATTAATTAGGTTATGGTGTCTGCTCTCTAGGACGTGTGAGCTGGTCATTAAAATACAGAATCATAATGGCCGAGGGTGACAGGTGTTCAGAACGCTGTGGAATCCAACAGAAGTACTGACTTCCACCCAGCAAAATTTGGACGGGGCAGAAGAGGTGATGGTAAAGGCAATTCTTGATGAATAATTAAGAGATCATTCAGAGAAAGGGAAGGTAGGGAAGCTGAGGACAAGGGCTGAACACGGGCAATCCTGTGGCATTTAGAAAGAGGTGACAGATGAGGGAGGCTGCGGGGTCAGGTCTAAGTACAGATCCTGGCTCCAGCTATGGGCAGCGTTGAGAACTTAGGCAATGGCTTAGCCTCTCCGAACCTTGTTTGTCCTTCATCTGTAAAATAACAACAATAGCATTAATAGTGCCTACCTCATGGGTTCTTGTATACTTAAATGCATATGAAGTCCTGATACTGTGTTCAATAAAACCTAACCATTTTATTAGTTGCCGTAGAAGTCCAGATAAGAGACAGTGATAGCCTCAGCGAGGAAGATGAGGAAAGAGAGACATTTTTGGAGAAAGAAACTGTGAACTGATCAGATATGGGAAATGGGGGAGAGATCAAGGCTGACCCAAAGTTCCTAATTGGGTGCCATTAACCGCGAAACATGGTTCAGAGCGGTGAGCAGGGTTGGGGGACCTGCTGAGGGTGAGGCACCTGCACGCCATACATGGGACTCAGGAGAGAGGCAGAGAGCAGGAACGGAGGTCTTGGAACATTAGCGTGGCCGAATCGCTGACCAGAGAAGATATTACGGGGAAAACTGCAGAAGAGAGTCAAACCCAAAGGACCCAATGAAACTTCAGTGGAAAGCAAAAGCAAATATATTCATGACTTAAATTCTCACTGTGAACGCATCATATTATTTACAGTAATTTGATGAGCATCGTTTATTGAGTTTTTTATCTGATGGCTTATTGTCCTCAGGGTTTGGGTACATCATTCATGCCTTCAACATACAGTTACTGAGAATTTCCTGTATGCCAACATGGTCCTCAGAGAGAGAGAGAGTCACCGACAAACCATGGCTGCCCTCACATAGCTTACGTGAACTTTATATGATAAAAATAGTAGTCAAATAAAGAAAATCACATCAGGTTATGAATAAAGCCTTCACAGTTCATGAAGAATATGTACATGCATTTCACTTGAGCCTTCAAACAATCCCAGTAGGAAGCAGTTTCTTTTTAGCCCTGATGCATAGAGGAAGAGAGTGGTCAGACCCAAGGAGCAGGAGTTTGATGCCAGTTGGGCCAGGGGTAAAGCGGTGAGATTCAAGCACGCGAATCCAACCCCAGGGGCAGGATGGTCACAGGTGCTGCGTGAGTTAAGTGAGTTCGTGGGTTCAGAGGTCCTGACCACCTTCCCTGGTGGATGACTGGTCCTAAAAAGGTAGTTTATTGAGAGCATGCGCCTTCACAGAGTGATGGCTTGTGAGAACCAAAATAGGTAAAAGCAGAAGTTAAGATGGAAGAGAAAAACAACATGAAATATGTCAGGGGGGACAGAAGGCGCAGAGCAAACGAACTGAGGGGAGTGGCAGCCTCCAACGTGAAACGCTCGAAGGAAGGAAGAGGCATGAAAAAGTGAGCCCCAGGCAGGGAGTGCGATGGCCGTAAACAAGCCACACTTACAACACCCTTCATTAGAGAGCTTCCACGCTTAATAAGGAAAGGAAACTTTTCAATACAAGCAACGTGTATGCCAGGGCTATAAACACACTCAGCGCGAAACACACTGTAAAAGGAATGGTTTACAGAAAGAGGGAGAAATCTACTGGATAATGTGACTTCTTGACAGCTCATCTTGCGGCTGCTCATTAATCACGCCTTTAGCTGTATTATCAGACACTTCGAGGTGCTTCTCTGGCAGCACTTGGAACAGGCCTCCGCTAGGGAGGAGGAGAAATAAAGAAGAAGATAAATACAGTCTGTTATTATGCTGTAACGCTGCCCGATAGCACCCTAGCCCTTGGGTGATTGATAGGCAAACTACATCCCAAATAACTGAATCTAAAATTGGAGTGTATGTGCTAGCTGAGTTTTCATGTCTTGGTTTGGCAGTTTGTTTCTAGAATTGCCACAAATGAATGTTATTATTAGCTTACAGTTTGGGTAAAAGTGTCATCAATGCTTATTCTTTGAAAAGAAACGGGGAGGGGGGGGAGATTCTGAAGCTCTGTTTTCAGGGGGGAAAAGAACAAAAACAAAAAACAAAAAACTTGGAAGCCATTAGGTGTCAGGTGCTGTGATGGTCAATTTTCATTTCTCATCTCACTTAAGTCTCACATTAATATTGGAAAGAAGCTATTATTGATTACATTTTAGCCTTGAGAAAACAGGTTCAGAGCTATGCTCTCTAACTTCTAACATGTCTAAGCTCATTCAAGCAACTAAGAAACAAAGACAGAACTAAAACTAAGAACTCTGTGACCCTGAAATCTGTGCCTTTCCCATAAATTGAGTGAGATTGTGCTTG